AAGAGCGGTGAAAGATATAGGTTTCAATGGGTTTTGTCCACGATCTAGTCGCTCATTCACGACTAGCTCTAATCATGACTATATAGCCAAGGTTCGAACAAGGAGGAGAATGATAGGAGTTTCAGTGGCGTTTGGTTGCTACAGGAGGGGGCAAGAGGGAGGCGAGTGCGATGCTCTTGCTTCAACGTCGGTCCTCCCTAAATAGTCGAGAGAGGCGATAAAGCAGTGAAGAAAAGGAAAGGTGACAACAATGGACCGAGAAAGAAAAGAAAAGAATTACGTTTTGAGGGAAGTTTGTTCGGGACGAACAACTCGAGAAGATGGTAGGGATTGCGATAACGAGCGATGGAGGAGACAACTTTTTGGTTTTTATTACGAAAGCTATACATTTATTGAGAGGTTTGATGGAGAAGTATTGGGGGGGGGGTAGGGAATAAAGATGTTCCACATATGATTTTTATTGATTTATAAAATGCTTACGATAAGGTTTCAAGAGAAGTATTTTGGAGAGTTATAAAGAAGAAAGGTGTTGATATGACTTATATTCAAGTCATTAAAGATATATATACTAGAGTTGTTACTTGTGTTCAAAAAAAGGGATCACCTTTAAGGCCATATCTTTTTGCTTTAGTTATGAATGCTCTTATTGGACATTTACAGGAGGATTTACCTTGGTATACTAATGATTTCCTTCTTTTGAATAAGACTAGAGAAAGTGTTCAGGAAAAATTTGAATTATGGAGATCTACATTGGAGTCTAAAGGCCTTCGTGTGAGTAGATCTTAAATTTAATACATGGAAGGTAATTTTAGTAGTAACTCTAGTGGCGGAGTTGTAATTATGGGTGATCAAATCTTTAAATGGTGTGACCGTTTTAGATATCACGGGTCTATTGTTCAAAGTGATGGTGATATAGTTGGGTATGTTATTAGTAGAATTCAAGTTGGTTGGTTGAAATGGAGGAATGCATTAGGCTTATTATGTGATAGAAAAGCTTATTCTGAGAGGAAAATTTATAAAATGGTGGTGAGACCTGCAATGCTCTATGGCGCAGAATGTTGGCCTTTAAAAGAGAAAGCATAAAAGAAAGTTAAGTTTTGTGAGATGAGAATGCTTAGGTGGATGAGTGACTTGATACTTAGAGACAAATGCGAAATGAATATTAGTCGTTTTAGATGGTTTGGTCACTTTAAACGTCGATCATCTGATGATATCCTATTAGGAGAGTAGACATTTTAGATTTCACTTATGCTAAGAAAGACAGAGGTAAACCTTATATGTCTTAGGCATATTGTATAAAAAATGATCTTAATTTGTTGGAGTTAAATGAATATGACACTCACAGGACGCAATGGAGAAAATGATTCATGTAGCCGACCCCACTTAGTGGAATAAAGGTCTTGTTGTTGTTGTTATATACATAAAACCTATTAAGGGACTTGAGAGTATTGAATTTAGTCCCCTATCAATAGTTAGAAAAAGTGCAATAACATTGAAATTCCAAATAATTGGCCTTCACTCCCATGACAAGAAGACGAGAATTCATTACACGAATTTTACATGGAAAATTTTAAGGAAAAAATATTACAAATAAAATTATTTACTTTTATAAAAATTGGATATTTGTGCAGATAAAAATTATAGTAATATCTAAAAATTTCAATTATGTATTTTAAACCTTGTATAATAAAAAATAAAAATATGTTCTTAGATCGACTTTCTAGTACTCAACAGTAAATCTCAATCTTTGCGAAACTTTTTTTTTTTTACCAAGTTTAAAAATAAAACTTTTTCTTTTTTAATACTTTTTCATCATATAAAATGTTTTGTTGCCCTCTCCTTGCTCTGCATATGACGTGAGTTGGAATATGGTGTCTTCCCTATTAGGAAAAAATATTACATGCAAACTCCAGATGAGCTGACAACGGCCAGGATGTAGTGAGGAGGGCGGAGGTCCGATTCCTCCCCTCCTCCGCTGCATTGTCTTGTGTGAGGCCGCTTGAACCGGTTGGTCCTGTTTCGTCCCATCTCTAGCATTCAGGGTTTAGAATGACGAGATAAGCCATGACATTATCACACACTGCAATGAACCCCTTGGGCTTTAGTAGACAACTCCTATCAAAGATTCATACATGGCAGTCATTCATTAAGCATTCTAGGTTCATTGTAAGCTTTGACATTTTATTCTCTAGTCAAGTCAATTGTATGATTTCGAAGTGAATGAGTGCTAAAATATAAAAAATAACTCGAAACATAGCTATTTATGATAAGAGCGACTTGTTGCTTCCATTTCTTAAATTGTCATCCAAATATCTAAATACCATAACTCATTTTTTTTCGTTTGGGGCATTTGCATACATACCACATAATTCCCATGTATTTACATATCTAACACCTAAATTTTTCTTTTTACATTTATAACACCCAAGTCTTTCATATCACATCAAAAGTATTTCCATTTTAACTCTTATAAAAATGAAATAGACCTTTTCATGCATAGATAAGGTGACATATTTGTAAATTGAAGTTTAGGTGTTTAGGGTTAAGGTGACATATTTGTAAATTGAAGTTTAGGTGTTAGATATGCAAATACAAAAGAAATGAGTGATTTCTATGTAAATTTCTTTCTTTCCTATTGAAAATATCCGTAGAACGTATTATTTTAAGCGTGCTGAGAGAGAGATTAATCATTTTGTACTTGTTATTTTTATTTTTATTATTATTGTAGGGTCTGGATCTACCTGATATTATAGTAGAGACGGAGAAGCGTGGTTTTTCTTTTGATCAGCTGCTCACAATTCCTGAGGAAGATGATTGGATTTATTCTGATGGCAGCTCCACCTCTTGCGTGGCTTTTATACTTCAGATGTACAAACGTGCCGGTCTTTTCGATCCAATTTCCGCATCCATACAAGTAACTGAGTTTACGGTGAGTCTTTTTACATACGAGAAAATATTATATCAGTACTACTAACGTAATTTGCGTTAGGACTCCAACAGTGGAGCGTCAAGTGTCAAGTGGTCCTCACTGCAATACACTGGCATTGACCAGTGTTAAAAACGGTGGAGAGCCCACTTGACACGTGACACCCTACCATTGGATTCCGAATGCAATATAATATTTTTTCTTTTACATACACACCACCTAATTCTTCTGTATTTACATATCTAGCATCTAAATTTTATTTTTTACATTCATACTGACTAAATCTTTCCTGTCACATAAAAAATATCATAGTCTTAAACTTTTAAAGGTGAAATAAACCTTTATCATGCATAGGTACGATGATATTTATGTAAATACTGAAGTATATGTGTTAGATATGTAAATACATAGGAATTGAGTGGTAAAAAAATAATTTGATTTATTTTTAAAATGACAGATCAAAGATGCATATACCCTAAGTTTCTTCGAAAATAATTCAAGCCGACTGCCAGAGTGGTGCAATAGAGAAGACACGGTGAAGCTGCCCTTCTGCCAGATTAAGGGAAGGTATAGGATGGAATTACCACATTACAATACAATACAGCCTTACCCTCACATGAATGAGAAATGCCCATCTTTGCCCCCAAATTATGATCGACCATCTTATTGCTGAACCTTTTTATATTTTAATATTTTCATCTGCTCCTCCTTCCCCCCTTTATAAATATGAAATTATGTGGGGAAATTTATAAGATTGTAAATTTGTTGGCATTAGGTAGCATGAAGGATCACTATAGAATTTGATATAAACATGAATGTTTTTATGTATGTATGTGAATGTCTTTTTGTTTGATGTGAATAAATATGAGAAATAGCACATATGTGTATTTATGTTTACACGAAGCCTGTTAGTTTTCACAATTGACACACATTAATCATTGTGAGTATCAAGTATTTTCTATGCCTTCTAGGGTATTTTGGGTATATATACTTTCTCTAAAGGCTTGTTCATGTACATGCAATAAGTCACAAATCTACGACGTATCATACATGCATGCGATTGCGACTTCAAGAGCTAGACGTTTGGATCACACTGCTTCTGTTTCCAAGTAATTTACATTAGATTTATATCGATAGACATATGAATCATTATTTCATATGATACCCAAGAAAGAATAATGACCTCAGCATAATCAATAACAATATATTATTACATTACTTCCCCTTTTAGTTAGAAGAAGATATGATTGTCCAAGGATAAATAGGATTAGAAACTCAATGGATGAGATGAGAACCACAAACACGAGTGTGATTTTTGTATAGATTTGGGCCATAGTAGAGAACATGTCCTTATAATCTAAGTACAAGCAGGTATAAATAATATTTTATAATTAAATTCCATATTACACTTACTATTACATTTGGCTTTCCGATTATAAGCACTTTGATTATTTTATAGAATTTCATTTATGTATGACATAGTTCTTGAAGCAGTCGGTCACTTACTAGTGACAAAAGAGTATCAAGTGTTGTGCCTACGATTTATCTATGCATTGCAAATTGCATATATCAATTATGTTAGGCACTTGCAATACAACATATTCAGAACCACTAATAGCTGAAATGGAAAAGCAAAGGTGCCTCATGACTAATACATTTCAGTTGTTTGTATGTAAGGCAAATTTCCATTCGTATTTACATATTATTAGGATTATTATAATTTTTTTTACCTATATAATGTACATTTCTGACAGGTGAAATGACTATCAATTTTACAAAATGTACAAATACTTATTGGTGTTAGGGTAGACGAAAATGCCATAGTGGGGGCCTATTGTTGTTGACTCTTATTTTTGCTGGCCGAGTTGACTAGTGTGTTTCGATGAGTTGTTGGGTGACCACCGTAGGGTTGATGTTATCTACCACCCATTTATAAACCATGAGATAACATCAAGCTTCTTTATGGGTCACTACCATACACAGACTATCATGTCACTTTGTTGGCTTCATTAGCAATTTTGCAGGGAGTCGAATGAGGATTTATGTCAACATAATTTTTTAAGGCGCGTTAGGACTTATATTTTGTATATATTAGGATGTTTTCTAATGTAAGATACTTTTGGATCACATGTTTGCTTGAAATATTTACCATTGTTGGAAAATTTGGAGAAATTTGGAAGACATTCATTGGACGGCACAGTGCTGAGAGAGTTGTATAGAGAATTAGATCTAGTAACGAAGCTTAATTGTGTCACGATTGCTAGGTGTTTGCACTTGCTTAGCATGGTGCTAAGAGCACTTACATGTTGGTAGACTCATTTTTTATATTTGGACTCCTCATGAGTTGTTTAGATTCAGGTATAAAAACAATTTCTATATTTATATTTTCCCAAACATATTTTTTAATTAGATTCAATTTATTTGTTTAAATAACATGTAGATGGAATGAAGAGTGAACGTATAGAGACAAATTTGATGGACTCAAATAGTCATGTATACTACATATTTTCTTTTTGCTCATATTTTTCGTTAAATATTTATATTAAATATAATTGAACTTATAACTTATACACATTATTTGGACACCACATTTAGATATTTATATGGTGTCGTTACATGAAATGTTTTCAGAACATATTTATTTGTAGTGACTGTCTGCACTTATAAGTTGGAAGCGTCGAGTGGCATATATCAATCGCGTTATGCGACAATTTGCTAGCATTCAGTCAATAGTTATTAAACCTATATAACGGGTTTTTAAGAGAGTCGACGATCGAGGTAAAGGAAAAGTTGAGTGGGAGCAATATCGCCGGTCACTATATCGAGATGTAGAATAATCGACAGACTTATATAGTACTATTTAACTCATCGCAAGGAGATGACGAACAAAAATTGATTAATTATTTGTGAAGCCTCCTAATCAGTCATCAGAGAATAGTGGTATGCATTAATTATAGTTTAAAGCTAGTACTAATTTCTTATGTTATAATGCATAATAATTAATTGAAGTTTTAAATTAACCAAATGGTTTATTTATAGCAAAGACATTGCAAGAATGTTTGTAGGGGTTTGTGGTGGAAGTGCTAGTTTCATGAAACAAGGATATAATAAGATACTAGAGCTATCATGTAAAGTGGAACAATCATATTATATTGATTATTGTGCATTTGATTGACCAATTGGACATAATTTCAAGGTGCAACCATCCCATAGAATAGATCTAAGATTGCATGACCCCTATAGATCAACATCTGATGCTCCACGTTGGTTGTCTTCTATTATTGCGAGAAAATCAAATAGCAAATGCTCCAAGGTGATCTTCGATTGCCATAACACAAATCTCCCTTAAATGAGTCAAATGAACAACCATATCTAGAATCATCTGCTTATGTTAGCTAAATAATATTTGCAGCACCCTCCAGCTATGCGGGATCTTCCAGCTATGCAAGACCATCTACATATGAAGGTCCTTATGACTTACAATGGACAACTTCTATTAGTGGAGACCAGGATTTATAACTTTTAGAGCATGCTCGTCTCACGTAGGCCTCAATTTCGATACACATCTAATCATACACCAACAATTCTCATGAATGAAGAAAATGATTGGATGCCACAACAAACTACATGATGCGAGAGAAAATGATTGGATGCCACAACAAACTACATGATGCAACCAAAGAGGGCCACAACAAACTACATGATGCGAGAATGACACTGAAGTAGAATTTTAAGATAATCAGTTGTAACATCGATCACTGTAATCGCCTCTTGATATACATCGGACTTAGTAATACACACACACACACACACACACACATATATATTGAACAAATATTGTTTAAATGTTAATTAATAGAATCTAAAATTATAATTTATTTATAACATTAGGTAATATATATTAAAATTTAAATTAATTAGAATATTCTATATTATGAAACTATTTTTTTATAATAATTTAATAAAAATGCCCCCAAGGGGTGTGTTTCATGCATATAACCAATTTTTGCCTGCAATACCCCAACTGGAAGCGATTGAGTTCCTTCTAAAATTCTCTTTGGCCAACTCTTCTCCAATATTCTACTAATAAATGTGCTCCTTTTCATAATTTTTCCAGTCAAATTCACCTTTTTATGCATATAGAAAATGATATGGTCGTAAATATCCAAATTTTTTGAGTTGGATAAATACATATTTTATAGTGTTACCACAAAAATTTTCCTTTTATTTTTTATTTCTAAAAATAAATCAATATGTATTTTAAAACACAAAACAATATTCTAGTTTTGAATGTTTTTAAAACAATAATGTACTTATCTAATATTTTATTTAAAATCAAAGTATTAAAATAAAAGAAAATAAATTAAAATGATCCCAAAAAAATGGCTCATACAGTTCTTAAAATATCTAAAACCTTTTTTGTTACCAATTAGTCCAGTTTATTTTCTAATTAGTTTTGGGATTTCCATTCACCTTTCCCTAATAGGAAAGTGAAACAATTGAAGATGTTTTAAAATGAATAAAATGAAAACTTTGGTTGATGCTACGAAAATTAGCTCATTTCAGAGCATTTTCAAAGGAGAAATTTTCTACAATAAATCTCATATAGGTGCCCACTTTGCAACTTGAAGGTAGAAAAGATCATTGATGTGTGTCGGAAGGTTTGCAATGATAGAGCAGTGAGTTAACATCTTAGTATTAAATGAAAACAACACCCACTAAAGCAATTAAAGAAACAAAGTTGGAGGAGACCTTAATTTTTACGTAAAAAACCCTGAAATAAGAAAAAAACCATGAGGTCTAGCAAACTTGAAATGATTCACTATAGTTTTGAGTGCATTGGCTCACTCTTCTCCAAAATTAGGAAAAATGAAGCTACAATGACGATCATTGTAAATATACAATAATAGCTTATTGATAATAGATATAGTCTGAATGTAATGAATATAGTTCTCGTTGGTAGTAAGTTTCAAAGGCCGTAGTCAATTTTTATGGAAGCAATAGTAAACCGTGAATGTTATAAACGATGGCAATAGCGTCAGCTTGTCGTATAGACCGTACTTAAAAGTCATGTTAGTAGTTGGTCATGTGGGCCCGAGGTGGTTGCTTCATAAGCGTCGGTTGGACACAAAGGCCGTAGTAAGAAGCTAAAGGAGATTTGGGCCACGTATGCTATAATCGGACCATATGGGTCATAATCGATGATATCCATAGGCAGCAAAGGTTTATTTAGAAGTAGCATGAGCTGCAAACCATGTAGGTCACGTCAGTCATAGTAGTAAGTTGTGACGACGACCGTAGGCTGAGGGAGCCGGAGTTAGGAGTTACAAAAGCTATGAACCACGTAGGACACAGTTCGTCACATAGGTCGTAGTTGTGGGCTATGATGGAAACTGTAGGCCGCGGGGGCTGGAGTTAGGAGCTGCACAAGCTATGAACCACAAAAAGTTATAGTCGGTCCCGTGGGTCATAATGGTGAGCTGCAATGATGTCCGTAGGCCACAAGAGTTATAATCAGGAGCTGCAAAAGATGTGAACCACGTGTTGAAATTGGTCACGTAGGTCGTTGTGGTGAGCTGTGATGATGTGCATAGGTAGCAGAGGCCGTAGTAGGGAGTTCCATGAGTTGCGAGGTCATAATTGGTCACGTAAACTGTAGTGGTGAGCTGTGAAGAAATCCTTAGGCAGCGGGGGTCTGAGTCAGAAGTTGCACTAGTTGTGAACCACATAAGCCATAGTTAGTAATGTATGACACAATAGTGAGCTATGATAACGTATGTAGGCCATAAGAGCCGGAGTCGAGAGCTGCATAAGCTATGAACCACATAACTCGTGTTGATCACATAGGTTGTAGTGGTCAGCTGTGACGACGTCTGTAAGCCCCTGGGAATGAAGTC